TGCTAATAAAAAAGAAAATAAAAAGAAAAGAAAAGAAACACACAAGGCGATCTCAGTACACCGCCATTCAAGATTTCGAACATTTCATCTGTTGATTGACATGTTGAATCTTTAGTCTTTGCTGTTTGCGCGGTCTGCTGTTGTAGTCGCATTGCGATGATAACTGGAAATAGCCGAGATACGTATCTGACGCCGGACGGCGAGGGCCAGAAAAGAGACCTGAAGAGATGGTTATCGTGAGAAACAAAATCAATGAATAATTGAGGCCAGTAATGATCAAAACCAAGTGGCTCGCCCCCGAGACCTTGAAGAGAAAACACGTCAGTGGCCTGGATACGACAAATGGTCGTAGGCGAATATTAGGCCATGATCATCCTGAACTGTCCAACACTTTCAATCAAGACTTTTCTCTAATTTTTAGTTGACCACAGTGGATGATGTACATGTAGCCTCGAACCCCTATCGCCAGGCCCGATGAGAAAGCAAAGCAAACCCGAACGCCAGAGTCGTAGTCCAACAGATAAAACCCTCCCCAACTCAGACTTTGAAGCTGAAAACTCCAGTCATGGCCTACCGGCCTCCTCTGCTGAAACCACCCCTGCCACGGCCGCCGCCGAAGCCACCACCTCCTCTCGGCGCACCGCGGCCACCACCGAAGCCACCGCCGCCGCGACCGCCTCCACGGCCACCGAAACCACTGCCGCCACGGCCTCTGGGAGCACCTCCACGGCCGCCAAAGCCGCCACGGGGACCACCACGACCGCCTCTTGCCGGGCCACCACGGCCGGCACGCTTGACCTTGGGGGCACCTGGGGGAGGCTTGGGCTTAGGCAGGAATTTCTCCAATGGCAGAAGCTTCTCGGACCCGATGTAGAACTTGTCGCCCTCCTTGAAAGAAGTTGCCTGGATACCCTCGGAGGGCTTGATGGTGAAGTAAACCTGGTTGATGGGTCCGAGGACTTCGTCGACCTTGCCAACGGCAGTCTGTCAGAAAAAGGACAAAGTTAGTCGAGTTCTATTTCCTTTGGCTAATTTCGATCGAGATATAAATCGACGAGGGGTAGGTCGCACCTTGTTCTCGAGGAAGATCTGAGCGTTGAAATGAGGAACCTTGGGGTTGATGCTCTCGCAGATCATCTCGCCTTCGCAAGCGTGCATGAACTTGCCCATCTCTATACGAAAATTGCCGATTAGAATACTCTCGTGAGACAAAACAGCGACAAGGTGAGAGAACGTACCAAGGATTGTCGCGGGCGGGCCCATATCTCTGTTCTGGAAGCCACCACGGCCTTTGAAGTTATGTTAGCATCAAACTGTGAATTCCGTCACCGAGCAGACCCAATCTGCAAGTGCATTGGGATAATGAAATGTAGAGTGATTTCATACCTCCAAAACCGCCGCCGCCGCGACCACCGAAACCACCACCGCCACCGCGACCGCGCGGAGCTCCTCGTCCGAATGACATGTTGATATGTGGATTGGCGGGTTGTCGTTCGGAGCTGCTCCTGTACTGAGTGCTTTGGTGCTGCTATTGAAAAAAACGAGGCCAACGGGCAGCCGACAGAAAATTTCCCAGCGACCAAATTGTGGTGCAGGCCAATCGAGCTCCCTCATTGGCCACGGCTAGCGGGTCGGAACAATCCCTTCCGGGTGACCCCGCCAAAATTTCCAATACCTGGCCAGCCACCAGCCCACCTGCCTGACTTGAGGGCCATTGGCGGGGTGGTGGGCTCCAATGCAGGGAGTGCGGGCCAGACACCACCAGAAAGTCGTCCGAACACCTTGTTTGACTCACCGTAGGCTTTGGCGGGGTTGCTTCGCTGTGTTTCGCCCAAATTTGTTGGCACGAAAATCGGTCTTCGTGTGCCTTTACTTTTTCAACCCTCACCCTTCTCACGCCTACCACGACCGCTCAATTGGACGACATTATGGATTCCGCGAAGCAGGCCGTCGAGGCCGTCACCGAGGGCGTCAAGAAGGTCGCTCTCAACAAGGACAAGGCGCCAAAGAAGGAGAAGAAGGCTAAGGATACTGGCGATGCCTCGGCCGGACCCCTCGAGCTCAACCCTCCGCCCGATTTCCTCCAGAAGAGACTCGACCTTTTCGACAAGTTGAAGAAGGAGTACGATGAAGAGCTCGCCAGCAGGCCACGTGAGGCCATCACCATCACCATGCCTGACGGCTCTATTCGTCAGGGCACCAGCTACGAGACCACCCCCGGCGAAATCGCGAAGAGCATCTCCAACAGTCTGTACAAGCGCACCGTTGTCGCAAGACTCGACGGCGACCAGAACCAGTTGTGGGACTTGGATAGACCTTTGGAGAAGAGCTGCAAGTTGGAGTTGGTGAGCTTTGACGACGAGCAGGGCAAGCAGGTCTTCTGGCACAGCTCCGCACATATTCTTGGCGAGGCTTGCGAGAGGAGATTCGGATGCTCTCTGTGCATCGGTCCTCCGGTCGATAATGGTTTTTACTACGAGATGGCGCTTCCCGGCGGCGCTTCTGTCCAGGCTAGCGACTGGAAGCCCCTCGAGTCTATTGTCGGATCGATTGTGAAGGAGAAACAGAAGTTTGAGCGCCTCGAGCTTACCAAGGAGCAGCTTCTGGAGATGTTCAGCTACAACAAGTACAAGCAGCACATTATCAACGACAAGATTCCCGATGGTACGAAGACCACTGTTTACCGCAACGGTCCTCTGATCGATCTTTGCCGTGGACCCCACGTTCCCAGCACCGACCGTATCGAGGCTTTCAGCATCATGAAGAACAGTGCCTCCTACTTCCTCGGCAACCAGGAGAATGACTCTCTGCAGCGAGTTTACGGTGTCAGTTTCCCTAGCAAAAAGGAGCTGGCTGCGCACAAGAAGTGGCTTGAGGAGGCAGCTGCCCGTGATCACCGCAAGTTGGGCCAGGACCAGCAGCTCTTCTTCTTCCACGAGCTCTCCCCCGGCAGTGCCATGTGGCTGCCCCACGGTGCGCGTATCTACAATACCCTCCTGGCTTACATCAAGGAGCAATACTTCAAGCGCGACTACCACGAGGTTATCTCGCCCAACATGTACAACGCAGAGCTGTGGAAGATCAGTGGTCATTGGGACCACTACAAGGATGACATGTTCGTCCTTGATGTCGACAAGGAGAAGTTCGGCTTGAAGCCCATGAACTGCCCTGGCCACTGCCTCATGTTTGCTCACACCCCCAAGGCGTATCACCAGCTGCCGTGGCGTGTTGCTGACTTTGGAGTCCTCCACCGCAACGAGGCCAGCGGTGCCTTGTCCGGTCTCACCCGTGTGCGCAGATTCCAGCAGGACGACGCTCACATCTTCTGCAGAGAGGATCAAATCAAGTCTGAGATCAGCAACTTGTTTGACTTCCTCAGTGAGATGTACGGCCTGCTGGGTTTCACCTTCAAGCTCCGTCTCTCCACTCGCCCAGACAAGTACTTGGGAGAGCTTGAGACATGGAACAGGGCTGAGGGCATGCTGAAGCAGGCACTCGACGAGTTCGCCGCCACAGAAGGCGGTGTGCCATGGACTATCAACGAGGGTGATGGCGCCTTCTACGGTCCCAAGATTGACATCAAGATCCTGGACGTCTTGAACCGTGAGTGGCAGTGCGCCACTATTCAACTGGACTTCCAACTTCCTCAGAGCTTTGGTCTTGAATACGTCTCAGCGGAAGTCAACACTAAGCCAAAGGAAGAGGAGGCACCTGCCGCTCCCAAGGTCCCCGAGTTCAAGGCCAAGGACCCTCAAGCCGTTATCGACTCGGCTGTTGGTACTGGCGAGGAGGAGAAGGAAAAGAAGCGCGTCATCAAGCCTTTGACGAACGGCTGCCAGCGCCCTGTCATTATCCACCGTGCCATGGCTGGATCCATTGAGAGATTCACAGGTTAGAATTGCGCATGGCATGTCGCTTGAGCATCGCTAACATTCGTGTCCCAGGTATCCTCATCGAGCACTTCGCCGGAAAGTGGCCCTTCTGGCTCAGCCCTAGGCAAATCATGGTCATCCCTGTTGGTAAGGGCTTCGTCGAGTACGCCGAGGAAGTCCAAGCCACCTTCAAGAAGCAGGGCATGTGGGTGTGAGTAGTTCTCCGCTACCCGTTTAGTTTTGGAAGAGATTCGCTAACTCAAATTCTCTAGTGATGTCGACCTGTCCGGCAACACGCTGCCCAAGAAGATTCGCAGCGCTCAGCTTGGGTACGTACAATGGACTGCGCTTCCGTTTGGTTTGAGAATGTGACTAACTCGCATAGCCAATACAACTTCATTTTCGTCGTTGGTGACGAGGAGATGAAGAACAAGCAGGTCAACATCCGCTACCGTGATGACACCTCGAGCCAGGACCGCGGCAAGCCCGTTGACGTCGCCGAGGCCGTTGAGAAGATCAAGAAGCTGCGCGAAGAGCGCGGCACCTATAACCCATTCCCCTCCGTGGTGAAGCCCAAGGAGGACAAGGCATGAACGTGAGAGATGGAGCATGGCTTTCATGACAAAATGAATTTTGAAGATGGTGTTTGGGAGGGTGGTGAAACATTTTGCAATTTGTAGCCTAGACTAGAGGCGCAAATCGTATCCATGTGCGGGAACAAAATACGAAAAATCGAATTTCAAATGATGCCAATGGACGACGATCGAGTGGCAATGATCAAGTGGCAATGGAGGAAAATGTGTAAGTAGGGTATCATGCGTATTGTATTTTCGCGTGCACGCTTAGATGTGTATCTCTGTGCTACAGACGTCCATTCCCTCAGTGCAATTGACTGATAGTTCCCGCTCCGTATTGTTCACCTCTGGCTTCGCCTCGTATGATTCTGCGGCGAAAGACTAGCTCGTGGCCCCAGTTCGTGTTCTCGCTGCGCAGAGAGATCTTACGAGACCTCTCTTGTTTCTTTATTCTTGTGCTCGTGTTGAGGCGCAAACACGTCTCAAGAACTAGGAAGGACAGACTCTCGCCCGCTTAGCTCATGGTATGACCGAAAAAGTTGGGAGACACGCCCTAAGGCTTGGGAATATGAATGCTCTTGCTGGTCATAAGGCATCCGTGAACCACGAACACAAGAGCAATGGGGTGGAATTCCAGTGCAGTTCCCGACAGCCACGTTCCGAGAGGAAGGTCCTGAAGAATCCAACGCTGAGATACCAAGTACGCCATCACAGCGTCAAGGCCAAGACTGGTAGGGATGGGAGTGCCTTCGAAGTATTTGCTTTTTCCAGTTGCATCCTTGGGAAGAGCGGCGACAGTTACGTTGAAGCGAGCGAGACGCGTGAGGCCGCAGAGGACAAAGAAGGTCAGGCAGAGGTGGTCGATGGGTGTGCGCAAACCAAGGGCGAAGGCCACAGAAGCAGGAGCGACGCCGAAAGAGATCTGTGTTATATATCAGCCGGGCTTGCTCCAACTCAATCCCGCTCGGAGAGACTCTATTATTCCCTGGCAAGGATGATAGGTGTAGACCATCGGCCCGGGATAAACGGATTTGTCGCTTGAAAACGTACCAGGTCAGCCAGAGAATCAAGCTCTTGGCCCATCATACCACTCTTCTTTCTCCAACGTGCAACTTTACCGTCCATGAAGTCGAAGAAGAGGCCAAATGGTAGGAAGGAGAGGGCGAGGTACAGCGTGCTAGTGGACGAGGGATCGCCAAGACAGTAGCGCAGAGAGGTAAAAATTGACATGACACCACAAGCTCCTATTCCACAGCAAGTCAGTAGTGCTCTTCTCCTCTCAATATGACTTTGCAGTGCATCCGGTCTCAGAAGACGCATCTCGCTTGGGACAACGTGCGGAAGAAGCTGGGAATATGTGAGACCGTACCATTACAGAGGGTAATTGCGTCGGCGAGGTGGAGGGCGCGGATCAAAGAAAAGTGACCGGGGTCGGCCGCGAGAAGTAGATTCTGCTTGTCGTGGGCTGCATTGAAGGTGACGTATTAGCTCGGATGGCATCTGAAGAGAGCAGTGTGTGCAACAAACCAGGCTCGGCGAAGCTATCAGCAGCATCTTTGGCTGCCTTGCCATTGGTGGCTACGCTGCTTGTCCGTTTCGACATGTTTAGTTGGGGCTTTCCCTGAGGCTAGCTGTGTGGACTGTGAAGACGTTGTCGGAGGAGAGACACAGTGGATGCTTGTTGATATGCCCGTTCAATTTCGTGAATTTTTCCTTGTCCTTTTGGAAATCTCGACGGTGGGCGTTAAGAGGGACGAAGCACGAAAATTGTGGAAGCGGAGAAGAGAGGTTGAGAGGATTGAGCTAGTTTTTGTATGCAGCAGCTTCGTGGAGTGGGAGGCAGGTGTAGGAAGAAATGTGAATGGAGGTGCTGGGCAAGCAAGGTAGGTAGGTAGGTCGGCATGAGGTAAGTCGGTCACACTCCTCCGCCTCAAAGCCAACTAGGATAGCTGGGGAAGGCACATGCCGTCATAGCCCTGTCGTTCTAGACCTGAAGCCGACTAGCGGGGGAGCTGGTCCAGCTCACGAGGTGCCGTGCACGTGATTTCCACCATGGCGTCCAACGTCGCACGGTCCAGGCACCGCCAACAACCGGGAAATCTTGGCACGGGCACCATATTGGCATATGCCAGCCACATGGGGGCACCCACGCACCTTTCCTTGGGGTAAGCTACTTGGCTACCTCAATGGACAACACCTTTTGGCCAACCCATTTTTAGCAGTTTCTTATCTTACCTTACCTACTTTCTAGAAGGTTGCTGTCAATGTCAATGTCGTACGTGCCACTGCGGGGTCTAAGCTTCATGTGTGTAGCCGTGTATTCATTTCGTGTATTATTTACAACGACGAGGCAGATCACTTATTCTTCTGCTGTAAAAACCACCTTGGCTTGTTGCGTAGAAGTGGCCACCCAACCTAAGTCACCGCGTCCCGGACGTGGTCTTATCCATGTCCAAGGCGTCTCGTCTGCTAGGTATTTCGAGGCCGGTAACCCCCTGATTTGATGCTCGCCAACCAGGAGATAGCGTGCCATATATTGGAATGTGATACTCCAGTATAAGGCGGATGTCTAGGCGTGCTTCGCCAGGAAGTTGTAGGAAAGACGTGCAATTTCCATCATTGTTTTTGGACGAGCCAGGAACCCATGCCATATAGATGATGGCAATGGTGCTCCAATTCTTCCTCCCGTTTCGTAAATACTATTAAGTTTTATCTCCAGCTGCCGCTCGTAAGAATGACAGAAACGCCACGGATTTCCTTTATCGAACAATAAGGATCGAAAATCCGTCGACCCAGGCTCCACAGGAGCCTGCCACACCGCAAATAGTGTATCCTCTTGGGGGTATCAAAGTATGTCTGTCGGGGTGATCAGCGACAACTGACGATTAAATGAAACTGCGTTTCCTAGACTTACGTGGATCCGCCCTGAGCATTGCCAAATATAGGCGACCGTCTGCCCAAGCTCGTGAGGACCTGGATTGCATCAATCCAAGCGCCCGAGCGGACGTAAAAGCCTGAGATGTATTCACCCCGGCGAATATCTAATGGGCATCTGTTAGTATATGGGCTCAACTTGACCCTGGCAGAAAGGACATACCAAAATCAAACGCATCGCCACCCTCTTTGCCTCCCCGTTTGCCAAATAATTGCGTTGTGTCGTCATCATATACGAATTCCATGCCGTCTACTGCATATCCATGGTAGAAGATGATGCGGGAGAGCACTCGGTTCTGTTTTCCGCCGCTCTCAAAGATGATTTCCTGTGGCTCAGTGCCATCCATGGCTGAGTGGCCCAGAGGTTTGCCTCTGTAGGCTGTCTTGCCGAGCGGGCCAGGGGTTAATTTGAATGAAGACTCCTTGGAGCACAGCTTTTTGAAATCATCGATTTCCAAAGAACCGCCGCTATGCGATTTGACCGACACCCTAAGCCGCCCCTTCCGCTTGTTCTCTGGGAGCTTCTCGCGTAGCTCGCGGTCGTTCAATGTTAGTTGACGTTGTACCGAATTGTTTTCGAGGGGATATTCAATCCATTTTCGGCAGAGATCATCGTCCTCTGCGAATAGCTCGATGAATGCGATGCCAGTCGCTGCCATTACAACCACGTTTCCGCTCTCAATTGGGAAAGCGTGGACGCTGTCGTCAGCGTTCATGGGGGGGTCGTTTGGCAACCTGAAGCAGGGATGGGCGCGGAAACGTAAACAATCCAAGCGGTGCCAACCGCACTCGTCATCTTGAAGAACCAGGCCCCCCTTGGACTTGGTCCTTGTGCAGAATGCCTCACGGGTCACGAAGCTGCGATTGAGTGTCAGGTAGTCGCGGAGCATCACTCCAGACTCCTGATGAGGACATCCAAAAAGGTGGCCTGTCTCGTGCAGATGGGCACCAATTCCGATGTTCGCTGCCTCCCAGGAGCTGCCAGCCTGGTTGCAATCGTTGGCGACGTAGGCAAGGTCAGTCGGAGTGCAATCCGTAAATGCAGGGACTACTTCTTCGAAACTCGTGGGATAGCTTTGCAGGCAATGGGATCCGAAAATGGCCAAGTGCAGATCACCTGCATTACCGCCCAACGCTGCGTGGCCCCTTACGACATTGGCCTCCTTATCCCATTGCGTATCGAGCATCAACACGGAAACGTATTGCTTCTGGCCACCTAGTGGCCTGAAGTATTGTTTCACCGCATCGGCAGCTATTTCGTATAGGTCCCCCTTCTTGCTCGCCTTCTCATTCTGTTGCGCTAGCTCGAGATCTCGAATTTCGGCGACTGTCTTGTCTGATCTGATGATATGGATCCTGGCCTCAGAGCGTAGGTTTCCGTTTTCTCGATCCCGCTGGTTCGATGTGCCGGCGGTCCATTCCTCCTCAAACCTGAAGACGCGACGTCCAAGTTTGTTTCGCCACATTTGCTCAGCTGTAAAGGCTTGCCAGAGGTAAGCGGCCATTCGGAATTTGCGAACTGCCGTCTCCAAATCATTGCCCTCTCGCTCAATCCTTGTAGGTACCGCATCGAAGGTCTCAGGAGAATCCTTGGCAACCATGATAGCGAGCTGCAGCGGAGGTGCATTGTTCGCCGGCAACATGTGTATCGTCAAGTAAGATGCGTGAATCGGATTGGATGACGAACTGTTGGGCAACTTTGGACTTGAGAAGTCGAAGCGGATCTTGTTTGGGCCTGGCTGTAGGTAGACGAGAGCCTTGAAATTGGAGTTGCATGCGGGCCAACATGTTGGTGGAAAGTTGTCGTCGAGTCGGGTTACCGAAACAGTGCCGTCGAGAGAGTGCTGCGAGGAGTCGCCAATAGTCCCATGTACGAGGAGAACCTTTTGGTATACCTTCCCAAATATTAGCAGAGCGCTCGGAAGCTGCAGCTAGAAGCTGGTGGCCGCGGTTGCGGATGTCTATGGCTGGCCGTCTGAGCGAAGCCGCCGCGAGCATGATTGGAGAAGCAAAGGTGACACCGCACGGGGCCACGACCCATGCGTATGATTGAGATGACCTACCCAGGCATTGTCGGTGATATTTGCAACTCTGGGCGCATATTGAGAGACTGGCAACGCCGACTTCCCGCCCACAACAGGAGAACCAAGGCCTGCCATACCAGAAACGCTGTGTCGGTGGGAATTGGGCACCGGTTGCAGCGGCGGACGAGCTTGAGGATTGCCCCCATTGGAGTCCTTTACTTGGAGGTCGAGAGCAGAATCGGAGGCTTGAGCCATGGATGGTGGGGTCGAGGCACCGCTTGTGGCAGTGGGAGTGGTAATGTTACTGGCATCGCTGGAAACGTCGGTATTTGAGCGGTCGGTCTTGAAGCTGGCTTTCGAACGACGCCGGAGTCCTCTGAAGTTGAGAATGGACGGAGCCATTGTGCCTCATAGAGCATGCGATAGCTCAACCGCAAACGAGTGACAGCTTCAGCAGTAGATATTTTGGCATGTGCAGCGTTCTGGAGGAGCAGATGATGCAAGTTAGAAGAGTCGGGCTCGGGTCCAACGGAGGGAGGAGCAGAGAGCTGGATTGGGTTTGTCTTTACGAGCAGAGGTAGACAGGTAGGTAAGTAGGTAGGTTATTGAGGACAGGTAGAATCCCAACGACAGTAGAACCCGGACGGGGGGAAGGGTTCCTCGAATCGGGTCACTGATCAGCGAGCGGTATCTGCAACGAGTGTGCGCTTGGTGCGGGATGGTCGACGTTTGAAAGTAGGCGACGTGGACGGATCCGCAGGAGTGCGGCTGTGATGAAGGACAATTGGCAAGCAGCAGCAAATTCGAGAAGGTAGCTTTGGCAGCGCAATAGGAGAGCAAGCAAGAAAGGAAGAAGAAAAAAGGGCGCAAGTGGTCTGCAGGGAAAGTATGGGAACAGACCCAGGATGGGATGAGAGAGAGGACGAGATGAGAGATGGGATGGATGATGGGGGGGGAAGCTTGGGAAGGAACTCCGGAGTGACCAGAAAAAAGTTGTCCAATAATTACAAGTGTGCAAGTGTGCAATACCGGTATCCGTACTGCGTACCTATGCAATGTCCAAGGTCCGGACGCTTGCTCCAGAAGGAGTGAGGTGTGGTCCAGTTGGTGTCCACGTCTACGTCCACACTTCACGTCTCACGGCCCGGCTTGACAAGCGTACCCGTAGTCTTGATGCCGTCTCCATTTGCGAGCCGACAGATGCAGCTAGACATGGAGCGAAATCCAGATTTGCGCGTCCAAAGAGGGACAGCAAATGGATAATGGACAGGTAGGTACACTAGCATAGTACGGACGGGTGCGCAAATTGAGGTGCAGCATAACGGCAGGACCCATGTCGAGATTTGCGTGTGGATTCGTACATTTGCATAAGAGGCCTGCTAACAAGCCAGGTAGACATGCTGGTCGGCAGATAACCGGCAGCGAGTTCGTCGATGACGTTGCCGTGTTTCGAGAGTGGGAAACATGAGTGCGGCGGATTGAGATTGCGACCGGGGGTTTGGTTGACCAGGAAAATGGAGTAAGAAAAAACAAGACTGGCCAAGGAGAGGGGCTTCAGCGTCCTGGCCTCGAAACTGCGAGATAACGAACGTTGAAACTCTGATTGACAGATCAGCGTACTCTGTGCCTACTGCGTACGCGCTTG